GACCCCCGGGAGCCCCTCGCAGCCGCCCCGAGACGGTGGCCGAGCGGGCGGGCGCGTAATTCTCCCGGAAGGGTTATTCTCTCGCTCCATTCTTGTTTTGGGGGGAGCCAGCGAGACAGCTCCTTTCGGGGCGCGCTGGCAAGGTGGGAGGGGGTGGGGGCCGGCCGATTGGATTCTTTCGCGTGTGTGTAGAAGCGGCCGCCGCCGCCGCGGCGGAGACGACAACAACTTGCTGGTTTTCAGGTTGGGTTAACGGCATGGAGAACAGTCACCCCCCCCACCACCACCACCAGCAGCCCCCGCCGCAGCCCGGCCCTTCGGGCGAGAGGAGGAACCACCATTGGAGAAGTTACAAGTTGATGATTGACCCGGCTCTGAAAAAGGGGCATCATAAACTGTACCGCTACGATGGGCAGCATTTCAGCCTGGCGGTGAGTAGCCGGCGTGCCCCCCCAGCCGTGTCCCCCGCCGCGTCCGGGGAGACGCGCCTAGCGGCCGGGGACCCCCCGCCCGACCCCCCGGCCAACTGTCAGACGGGGCCCCAGCCCTGGAGTTTGACAAGTGCCTGGAGAAAGGGGTCTGCCCCTGGGGAGGGCGACCAGCCCTCCCATCCCGGCCCCCCAATTTCTCCCTACAGATGTCCAGCAACCGCCCGGTGGAAATTGTCGAAGATCCCCGGGTCGTCGGGATCTGGACCAAAAACAAGGAGCTGGAGCTGTCGGTGCCCAAATTCAAAGTAGGACCCCTCCCCACTGCCCCGCCGTCCCTCCCCCACCTCCCCGAGTTCGAAAATAACGCCAGTCCTGACCGAGCCCGGCCGGATTCCCAGTTCCCGCCGTCCGGGGCCAGGGAAGTTTTGGCGGGGAGGGGTAGAGCGCTGGCGAGAGGGTGTCCCCTCTCAGCTACTGTAAACAAAATAACACTGGGTGAAACTGTAATCACGGCGTAGATACAGTGTCCTGCACGCCCCGCGGGGGGCTCCAGTCCGCCCGGGGGCTTGGCCCCGAGACTCTCCCCTCTCGCCAGCCCCCTAAAAGACAACTTCCTAAGCCCGAGGGGTCGCCCCTGACCCGGCAGCAGGAAGAGGAGGCCAGAATGGGGGGTGGGGAAAGAGAAACTGTTTCTTTTTCCCCTTTCCTTCCGAACCCAGAGGACTTCCACGTTCCAAACGATTTAATCCTCCGCTTCCCGGGCCCGCCCGCGTGCATTTTTTTTCCCCCCCCTCAAAAATTTTTTTTTTTTTTAGTTTTTTTTACCCTTTATTGTTTTCAACGGGCGGGCGAGTTGCGGGGGGCGGGGGGGTTATGTTGTGTCTTCCCTTAGGTTTAAACGTTCTCCAAACTCCCTTCTCCCTCGGCCCCTGCCAGATCGATGAGTTCTACGTGGGCCCGGTGCCTCCGAAGCAGGTGACATTTGCCAAGCTGAATGATAACATCCGCGAAAACTTCCTGAGGGACATGTGCAAGAAGTATGGGGAGGTGGAGGAGGTGGAGATTTTGTACAACCCGAAGACCAAGAAGCACCTGGGCATCGCCAAGGTGGTCTTTGCCACTGTCCGGGGAGCCAAGGATGCCGTTCAGCACTTGCACAGCACTTCCGTCATGGGCAATATTATCCACGTGGAGCTGGACACCAAAGGTGAGCCCGGCAGGGGAGGAGCGCGGGGAGACCTGTCAGCCCGACCCTTTCCCTCCCCGTCCCTCCTGCAGCGTGGGGAGGACCACCCCCACTCTTCCTTGGAATCCCCCCACCCCGACGCCCCACAACCTTATTTATTTTCTTAGCCCCCTCCTGAGGGTAGAGTCGCGTGGAGCTAAATGTGTTGTCTGTTGCTAGGAGACAGTCTGTAATTTACCAACTGTGCCGGTCCTTGGCCACTGCACCCCTAGGGACCACCCAGAGGCTTCCCCACCGCTGACACCCCCGCAGGCCCCCTCTCTGAGCCCTGGTGGCCTGGGTTTAGACAGTCCCCAGCGTTGCCTGTGTTAGGGGAAGAGGCAGAGTTTGTTTACTTGTGGGGGACTGAGGGAGTGCCACTAGGATGCCTTTAAATACATCGAGAGAAGGTCTGGAAACTAAAAAGAGAGTCCTCTAAGGATCCAGGGTGTCCCCCGCTCCCTTGCCGCCCCTTCCCCCCTGGAAGTGGCAGCCAATCTGGGGCCGGGAGTGTTGTTTCATTGATAAGGTTCCCGATAGAGCCGCCAGGGAGGAGCAGAGCCGGGAAGAGCAGGGTGGGCGGCTCTGGGCGCTCAGGGGTTGACACCGTGTCTTTCCTCCTCTCTCTTAAAGAGACCGCAGCACCTCCCCTGCTCTGGAATCAGCTGGGTGCTCTCTGGAGCTGGCTGGGGAGGCCATACCTTTCACCCTGTGGGTCTTTGGAGGCCCCTGCAGGACCAAGGGGCTTGTAGGACTCCAGGGCATTCCCCAAAGTGTGCCTGAGGCCTCTTTAGGGCAGCTCCCATCAATAAAAGAAGGTGCTGAGTGCTTTGAGGGCCAACCAGCTAAGTGGGGAGATGCCATTCAGTCCCTAGCCCACCCGGGTCCCCTGGGAAACCCTGCTTGGGAGGGCAAAAGTGCAGCTTCCAGGAATTTTGTGAGCATGGGGTTCAGGGGCAACTGGGACACACCAAACCCAAGGCAGGAAAATCAGAACTTTTCTTTTTTTGCGTTTAATGATTAAAATGTATTGACCCAGCTGTAAGCCAGTGCCGGGGGTGGTGATGATTATTCCACGCACACTTGCCGAGCCTGTGCCTGGTTCTGTTTCTCCTCTCAGGGCACAGCCCTCTTTTTTGTCCAGTCCACAGTCCCTCCCGCCTCTTTCCCTGGCTTCTCAGTCTCTGGGGTTGGGGGGCAGTGAGGACCTTGGGTGGTTGCAGCATGATTTCTTCCTGATAATCGAATTGAATGTGGCACCCCCTTCCCTATCACGTGCCCACATTTTAAGGAGCAGCCAGGTCTCAACAAAATTTCATTTTTGCAAAACAAACAAACAAAAAACACAGAAGCCCTCAGAGACTGCCAACTAAGTTTGTATTTCAAGAAAGAGACCAGTAAAGTGTAGCTCCAGGAACGTGTCTTTTTTGCATATGTAAGCAGCTGCCTCTGAGGCTCTATAAATATCGATAACCCCCGGGCCCTGGTCTATAAAAGCCTCCTTCTGCTGAGGGGTGGAGGGTTCAAGCCCAAGGTTTTCCCCAGGCCACCCTGGGGCCCTCAGCCTGGTCAGGGCCTGTGGAGTTCATAGTAATGTGCTACTAGAGTGTGTTGCAAACTCTGCTGCCCACCTGGCCCCAGATATTTAACAAACTGGGCTTCCCCTCCTCTCACTGCAAACCCCTGGGTATTGAGCAGAAAGGGGAAGATGTGGCTCTTTGGGCACCATGGCCCAGGTAATGCAGGGGTTGGGGGGCTTGGTGTCGCGGGTGGCAGTTCTGGGTTTGGCTTTGGGGGAGTCTCAGCCCCAGGAGGCATTAGCTTCTGGATCTCAGGATCAGAAAAATGGTGCAGCTCAGCAGCTTTCTTAAAGAGGTGGGAACCCTGAGTGAGGTGCAGAGGGGTGGGAACTCAGGGCCACACAGCCTCCCTAGGACTGGGGTCTGGGGCACGAGGGACCCACTGGGGTGCCACACAGGTTGGAATCCCTGTGGGGGCTCCTCTATCCTGGAACCTCACTGAGTCCCCTCTTTCCTGCTCATCCACAGGGGAAACCCGAATGCGGTTCTATGAACTGTTGGTCACTGGCCGATATACCCCCCAGACTCTCCCAGTGGGCGAGCTGGACGCTGTCTCTCCAATCGTGAATGAGACCCTGCAGGTGGGTTTATGGCCGTCAGTCTGCCCCATTGCCAGCTCTTCGATGTGCCCCCCTCCTCTGGAAAGCCTCACCAACTCTCTGATAGGACCCCCAGCCTACCCCCACCTCA